AGCCTCGACGCGCCGCCAGCGCGGGAGGGGGCTGCACTGCGAGGGCAGGGGGAGAGCAGGGAGGGAGGCTCACCTGCAGCCCCAGGGGAGCAGGCGGGCGGTGCGGGCGGAGGACTCAGGAGGGGCACCGGGCGGCTGCGCAGCCGGCTGGAGAGAAGCGGTGGTTTCCCCTTCAAGCGCCGCTTCTCTCCAGCTGCGCGGCTGCCCCGGCTCCTTCGGAGTTCCCCGCCCATGTTTGCAGGGTCTCATCCCGAAAGGGGCTTTGGGGGGTGGGGTTCCAGGGGGGCTGTCATGTGGATAGGGGTCGTGGCAGTCAGGGAGCAGCGGGGTTGTTAGGGGATGGGGTCCCAAGGGGGCAGTCAGGGGACAAGAAGTAGGGGGGATTGGATGGGTCGGGGGTTCTGAGGGGGGCAGTCAGGGGGCGGGAAGTGGGACGGGGAGGATAGGGTTAGGGTTTGGGGAGGCACAGCCTTCCCTACCCAGCCCTCCATACAGGTTTGGAACCCCGATGAGGCCCTTGGGCCAAAAAGTTTGCCCACCCCTGGACTAGCTGCCGGCTGATCATAGGAGCAGGCGCTTCTCCATCAAGGCTGGGGACTGACTGACTGACAGGTGGGAGCTCGCAGAAGGGCGGGGCAATCCTGGACCAAAGTGCTGCCGCGCCGCTCGCCAAAAGCCAAAGCGACCAATCAGCACCTGAGACAGCCACCATCTAGCCTGTATCCCTGCTCCTAGCCTGCTAGGTCAGCCCCTCCCTTGCCTTGCGCCGTGGCCCATGCTGGTGTAGCCATGTTTGTCTAACACCATCTACACCCCAATCGACCAGCGCCTGTCCTGCATCTTGGGGGTTAATGGGCATGAAATGCTCCCGATCTGTAACCGAGCCTGTCTGCGCTTGAGTTGGGAAGTCGGCCAGCATTCCACGTTCGTTCGTTCGGTGATAGTTATTGACGCTATTCTGTCCCGTGAAGCCTCCGTTTTCTGCGTGAGCCTCGATCCCACAACCAACACCCTGGCAGTGACCGGCGGGGAGGACGACAAGGCCTTCGTATGGCGTCTGAGCGATGGTGAACGCCTGTTTGAATGCTCAGGTGAGGTGCGCTGAGTTGGACCGTTCTCTGGCATATGGGATGTTCTGCTTCGGTTCCTGGTGGTTGTGGCGTGCTCCCTTTGGGGGTGTTACTGTGCGGTGTTAAACAGCTGCTGTGTTCCACCCCAGAGAGAGCTGCATTATCGTGGTGGATGGAAAAGAGAGAGAGCTGGGCTCTTTAGGGTTGACAAGCCATACAGATAAATCTAATGGCCAGCAACTGCTGGAGCCAACCTTCTGCTGTGGATAATCTTCAGTGCTTGGCTTGACGTTATCGGTCTTAACCGCAGCAGCTAACCAAGGCTGGCTACATCACTATCCCCTGCTTCCCCATTGCTGTCTCTTCAGGTCACAAGGACTCCGTCACCTGCGCAGGTTTCAGCCACGACTCCAAGTTTGTGGCCACGGGGGACATGAGCGGACTGGTCAAAGTGTGGCAGGTGGACACGAAGGAAGAGATCTGGTCGTTCGAAGTGGGTGACTTGGAGGTGAGAGGGAATTAAAGGGGCGTCGCTAATGGAATCCGGAGCCCAGACCCCACTCTAGGGAAAAAGCGAGGGGGCGGGGGGGTTCCTTTTTTAAGAGACCGCCTAGAACCTCAGCCTGGATTGTCAGGAGCCCACAGGCTGGTGCCTGGGAACTTTCTCCAGGAAGTGAAACTGACAAGTCTAGTTCCTGTCTCCCAGGCTGAACAGATCTCCTGATTTTTTCCACTGGAAAGGACGATGCAGCATGCTATGGTGGCTTCTTGGCCGGAGGGGGAGGGGGTGTATGGGGCAGGCCCTGGGAACATAGAATAGCCCGGGCGGTGCAGTGGCTGATGGGTTGGCAGCCTCGGGGCGTTTTGCTGCAGAAAGCTTTGTAGCATCTGTTGGCTGTCTCAGGAGCGGCATGATGGGTGGATTTCTCTATGTAGCTCCTGGTCTTTCCTCCCGTATGTGAACCTTGGATGAAAAGATCAGAGAACACGTCCTCCCTTGTGTGGTTCTTCTTCCTCTTCTTAATTTCACCAAGGGGAAGTCCGGCTGTTACCAACAGGACTCAAAACTTTGTGTGGACTTGTGAAGTTGTGCTGAAATTCGGCAGATTTTACCAGTCAAATTCTGTAGTGTAGACCAGGCCCAGTTCAGTGGGGAGAAGCGAACTGGATTTTGAAACCATTTCTAGTTAGCTGGTGTAACTGACGCTGGTGAGGCCGATTTGTATCCCGAATGCTGCTTCTGTCTTGATCGTGCCCCTTTAGGTAGGGAGTTGGGCGCTTGCAACTCGCAGTGTATTGTGTAGTTCATCCAAAGAGCTGAAAGTGCGTGTACAGCAGGGGGAAACTGAGTCATGGAGGGGCAGTGACTGGTGTAAGGTCACCCAGTCAGAGGGAGAGCCTGGAGAGAAGTCCTGTGCTCTGATCACTAGGCCGTGCTGCCCAAAGTTTGGCCTTACTTCTCTGGATAGTGGGGCAGCGTCCCTGGGGGTGACTGCACACCTCTCCCTGCTCGTGTGCCCGCCGGCAGGGGAGGTGGTATGGAGCCAGCTCTAGAGGGAGCCCAAGTGTCCAGCCTGGATTCCCTTCTGTGGGCCCCACTGGTGGACCCTCTTGTGGCTGAGCCAGGCCTCCCCCAGGCCCGACTGTTCTCTGCTCTTCAGCATCCTCCCCCCCCCCCCCCCCGTCCTGTCTCCCTCTTTCCCCAGTGGATGGAGTGGCACCCTCAGGCCCACGTCCTGCTGGCGGGCACAGCTGATGGGAACTCCTGGATGTGGAAGATTCCCAGCGGCGAGTGCAAGACCTTCCAGGGGCCGAGCTGCCCGGCCACCTGCGGCAGGGTCCTTCCTGACGGTGAGAGGCGAGGAGAGGGCGGGGAAGGGAAACTGGGCCGTGGCGCAGCCCTGCCAGTCGTTACGGCACAGCCACTGACTCTCTCTGGGCACCCCCTCCCCCCCGACTAATCCGTCTCGGCCAGTCCCTCGGCCAGCAGGAGCTGTCAGGGCAGGAGTCACCGAGCCCTGCGTGGATTTTGCCCCCGGGAAAGGGGCCTGGGTCCCTTGGCATGCAGGGGGCAGCCTGGGAGTGGGAAGGATGGGGCGGGGACGGGAGAAAGGGTCTCATAAGCGGCTCTTGTGCATCTCTCCGTCCAGGGAAGAGAGCGGTGGTTGGCTATGAAGACGGGACGGTGCGGATCTGGGACCTGAAGCAGGGTAGCTCGCTCCACGTTCTTAAAGGTACGGAAGGGTTAATTCCCCCTGTCCGTTGGGAGCTAGGAAGGGCAGAGCACTGGCGTGGCTTTGGGTTCCTATAAGCGTCTCTGTTTTCCAAGGGTCTGCACCAAAGGAACACGGGGTGGGGTGGGGGATGGCTGGGTCCACCGGCCCCTGTTCTTGGACTCGGGTAATGCCCGTCAGAGGGGCGTGGGGCTGTTTCCTCAGAGACTGGGGCAGTCCGTCCGTACAGGGAGAGCGATTCCGATGCACCAGAGTCTAGTCCAGGGCAGGTCTCTGCAGAACTGGGCGCGTTGGCTCCCTGAGCTGAGGGGCGTTGGCAGACCTGCGTGCTGGCGGGAGGGGGCCCGGGTCCTCGCAGCAGGGGCCGGGGAGGCCGTTGGTCAGGATTGAGGGGCGTTGGCAGACCTGCGTGCTGGCAGGAGGGGCCCCGGCTCCTCACAGCAGGGCCCGGGGAGGCGGTTGGTCAGGATTGAGGGGCGTTGGCAGACCTGTGTTCTGGCAGAAGGGGGCCCAGCTCCTCGCAGCAGGAAGGGGCCCGGGGAGGCCTTTGGTCAGGATTGGGGGGCATCAGCGGAGCTGGCGTGAACTGGTGGGACAGCTGCTGTGCGTTGGGCTCTGAGATCTCCCAGGCCGCGTCTGACCTCCCGTTGGCTGTGACCTTTCCTCAGGTCAGGACGGGCATCAGGGCCCCTTGACGTGCGTGACCAGCAATAAAGATGGCAGCCTGGTCATGACCGGGTCCGTGGATTGTCACGCCAAGCTGGTGAACTCCGCCACCGGCAAGGTGAGGCCCTCGCACTGCCCTGGGGCTGGGTGGCAGCCCGCGGGGCCCTGAGCGGGCAGGCCTGGGAGGTTTGCTGCTCGAAGGCCGAAGCTGGGGAAAGGGCTGGGTTAACAGCCTGCTCTGACTTCACGGCCCCGCAGCTCTGGGAGAGCGGGCTGGTCTGCCCCGGCCTGGTCTCACTCAGCCTCCGTCGGACCACTGATCTCTGCGCCCGCCTGCTCCGGGTAGTACCTGCAGTGGCGTGGATCTGCCAGCAGAGAGGGCTCTAGGCCAAGGCACCGCACTGTCCTCGCGGTTCCTGGCGTTCAGGGCTGCCAGTGGCTGGAGGCGGCGGGCGGGATCTCTTGCTCTCCTGGCCCCGTCGGGCTCTTGTCTCTGGGTGCTGCTGGGGACCCCTCCGCGGTTCCTGGGGAAGGGGGGTGGCCTGGGCTGGGTTTGCAGGGCCCCCACTCTGGGGCGGGGGTGGTGCCCGCAGAGTAACGGGCTTGGCTGAGGCTGTGGCAGGCTCAGCCATCTCCAGGTGCCCTGGGTGTCTTAGCTCGGGCAGCAGAGCCTCCTGCTTTGAGGTCCCAGGTTGAATCCCCACTGGCGTTAGTTTTCCTAGGGACCTAGTGGATCCAGTGGGTCCCAGGTTCAGAGCTGCCCATCCCCCAGTCCTTCAGGGGCATGTTGGATCCCAACCCTCCCATCCTTTGCCGGGGGGAGGGGACGCTGGATTGGCTCCCAGGGCCCCGCCCGACTGGCTCTGATGGGGGGTGTCTCCTCTCTGCCCAGGTGGTCTGTGTGTTTAAGATGGAAAGTGCAGCCTCAAAGCCTCCGGCGGGGGAGGCCGAATCCAACTCGGTCGAGTCCCTGGGCTTCTGCAATGTGTGAGTACAGGCCGGGTGGGCGACAGGCTGATTCTCCGGGGCTGGGCCTGGGCGCTGGGGGAGAGCCGTGGGCAGAGGAGACCCCAGCAGCTGCATCAAGAAAGGCAGGGAGGGAGGGTGGGTGGGGAGGTGCTGATTTGGCATGGGGGGGTGGGGGTCCGTGAGGGTCCCAGTGCTGCTTGGCATTCACGTCCTGGGGAGGCTGGGGGCCGTTCTCCCCTCCCCCAACCTGGATTCCCCCTCCCCCAGCCCACCATCCCTATTGGTAACAAATCCAAGGAGTCACCTTATCTGTTCTGCTGGGGACTGTGGCTCTGAAGCCAGGGACTGACTGAAGAAGCCTCGCTCCCCCCCCCCCTCCTCCCCCCAGGCTGCTCGGCCAGCAAAGCAGGGGGGCCGGTTCCTTCGAAATCCCCCCCCCTTTGCTCCTAAGAGCCCCTCCCTCCCTCCTTTGACTTCCTTCTGTCTCCCGCTGGCTAAGAGGTGCTGCTCTGGGAGGTCGGGGGGCCACCGTGCCCCGCCTCTCACGCTCCCCCTCTCTTCCCGGGGCAGGATGCCGCTGGCAGCCGTGGGCTACCTGGACGGGACCTTGGCCATTTACGACATCTCCACGCAAAGTCTGAGGCAGAGGTGTCAGCACGAGGTAAGGGACCGGGCACTAGGTGGCGCTCTGGGGGTGAGGCGCTGAGCTGTGGCCCCTGGAGACCCCGGGCTGCCCCAGAGAGCTCTGGGATCACTCAGATCTGCTCGGGGGGTGTGCTCTTCTCCCAATCAGCGGGCCTGTGGCTGCCCCCCTGGCCCAGGGCAGGGGCATGCAGCTCCTAGCATGGCTCCTGGCTGATCCCCATATAAATCCTCACTCCATCATGGCTGTCGCTAACCCCTAGACACTGCTGCCATCTCTGCCCAGGAACCATCACTGAGCCCCCTTGGCTTGGGCCTAGCCTTGGACTGGGTCCCAGCCCCCAGCCAGAAAAGCAGGGTTTGTGGGGTCTGACCAGTGATCCTAACGTCCCTGTAGTGCGTCAAGACAGCTGCCCGTGCCCGCCCCTTAGCCAGGCGCCGCGTCCCTTGTGGGGTGGAGGTCCCACGTCTGCCGCCAGACTGGGCAAGCCAGCCCCGTGCCCTTGTCCGGGGGGGTTGGGGTCGCTAGGTGGCCCCGGGCGGCCTGCCGGTGCGCTCGCTGATTTCCGTGCCCACAGTCGGGGATCGTGCAGCTGCTGTGGGAGGACAGCTCGGCCGTGGTCTACACCTGCAGCCTGGACGGGGCCGTGCGCTTGTGGGACGCTCGCTCCGGGAAGATGATCAGCGAATATCGGGGCCATTCGGCCGAAATCCTGGACTTCGCCGTCAACAAGTGAGTGGCCGCGGCGGGCTCTGCCTGCGGTGCTGCGGCCCTCACGCTGCAGCGGGCACAGCCCCCGCTCCGTGTGCCCGTTCGGCTGGCTGTGGACACAGGGCTGGCGTGTGGTGGTGGTGGGGAGTTGGCTCCTACGTACGTAAAGGCTGCGAGCTTTGCGCTCAGAAAGCGTGAGCTGTCCTGCCCCAGCCGGCTTGAGAACGGTGGCGCTGGATGTGATCAGACTCGGGGGGGG